ATTTGTATTTATATAATGTAATTAAAGATTAAATTGGCTTAAAAAGTTTCTTAAAACGAATGATGCAATAAGGAAGTCATATTATTACAAATTTACGACTCGCAGGTTAAAGGTCAAGTTCGTTTAGCACCTTTCTTTATATTGGTCTGCTCAGAGCCATTTTATTAACTAACTGCCTCCGTGGCCGAGCGGTTACTATACCGGACTGCCACGAAGAGGTCCCAAGTTCGATTCCCGGACCGGGAGATATATTAGATATATTTATTTCTCTCGTGTATTTGCAGTGTCCCTCAGCACACATTCACATAAAAATGAAAGGCGCGTCGGGACGACCAGAGTATCTTTGAGGTACGACTGAATGGGCATCTTCTGGACGGGCTTGTTCCATCGTAGATTCATCTTTCCTCCAGAGCTAGGTAGTTATCAAGAGCAAGTCCATTTAATGACAAAAAGTGTTATGCAACGCTACTGCATCGTGAGATTATGCGAATATGTGCGTCCGTACACGGCGCCCAGCGCGCGCGCACACATACAAGCCGCGTTGCTACATTTGTATGGAGTTACCACACTTAGACTTTGCCATAACAGTTGCAGTCCTAATCAGAACGTTGAATTGCAAAGATCTGAGGGGCACTGTCATCCAGAGAAATAAAGTTGACAACTCTCATGGGCCTGTAATTTCACAAGAAGCTATCTTTCAAAGCCGGATCGCAGTAATGCTTACAATACTGATTGGCGATAGAAATAGGCACTGTGGCGGTATTTCCATGGACAAAGTACTTCACAAAGAGCTCTACTGCTATTTTACAATAAAGATAATTATTTTACCGTCGCACCTAGGGAAGTACCAAGCAGGTACTTTCCCCGCTGAGGACGAGTCATCAACGTGCGCAAAATTAGTTCAGATTAACATGATAATAAAGTTTATCGTCTTATCTTAATGTGGTGTCTTTATTACCTTTTTCGAACCTAAACACAACAAATGAGAGCTATAAGGAGGGTCATGACACAATTATGAAAAGTTACACGGTCTGACATACTTCTGACGCTACCTCCATTACCTCATTGATTACCATTTTTGTTACAATTCCAAGAGTATAATCTATCCGAGTTAGTATGAATAATTGGGATTTAAAATAATGAAATGTTTTGTAAAACTTTCCGGTAAACGTAACCGCAATTTTCATTTTTAATTTATCATGTACATAGAAGTAATTTTGAGGTTGTTAATAGAGTTTAAAATAGAAAGGACACACAAAAGCTTATCTCGTCCAACCATTATAATGAAATCGCAAACTTAACTCTGCCTTTGAGGAATTGCAGTGGAAATTTAAATTAAATTTTGGCGTTGAATACCGCCATCGCCATTGTAAGTAACAAACGGACAAAACGATTATGACAGCGTGCTCGCTTCAGATACCGTTGCGTTTTCAGGCTGAAACCTCTGTTCCAGGAACGTGCACGGCCCTGGGGAAATTCGAAGTTAGAGTTTGGACCCTTGTGAGATTGATGAATTGATGAATTGAATTGAATTGATGAATTTTCACACGCAAACGCACTCATCCCCACAACACGCCTCCATGGTTTTTTTTATGATGTCAAGTGATGGGCCTTCCCCAAAGATCACCATAACGACCAGTCTAGCGCGGCTCGCAGCCTCCACAAGGTCATTGGTCCCTCTTGTGGGTGGTCATAACTAAACTCAGTAATAATTAACTCACGGAGCAAGTCTGTTGATTGCTGTTTATTTACGATTAATCCCGACCGCGTAGCCCAATCCCAAATGCCGTAAATTACTTTTTGACCCTAATACGACTCTATAATCGAGTAAATTATAATAATAATAACGTTTTATTTCTCTAATACAAATAAAACGATTCTTAAATATACTTATTACCTAAGTCTCGACTACTATCAGAACCGATATCGCCAAATCTCACACATTCTCAATTTGGAACACTACAAATCTTGATATTGATTGGTTGCAGTTTCAAATTTAAAAAGAACTATCAATTCTGGATTGTTAATATAATTTAAACTTTACCCTGTTGGCATATCGTTCAAAGTTATCAATACCTATTATTGCAAGTTACGACGTTTGGATATTATATTAAAATTTCAATCAATGTGCTGCCATCTAGCGGTTAATTTCTGAACGACGACGAAATGGAGTTATTAATTTAATTCTCCAAAAAAGAAGCGACCACATTGCAGGGGTATGAGCTTTACTTTCGTTTCTTGTATAAAAAAAAAAAAATTCCCTATATACAAAATTGAAAATTTGTCAAAATATACTTTCCGATGACATGATATCTGCCGCCCTTACTTAAAAGGGCGCTTGTGACAAAAAAGTCAAATCCGAGAAAATAATGTTCAAAAAAAATGAAAAATGTCTGTTGTCGCCAAACGAAAAGACAAAGACACTAGCTGCAAACGCAATCTAATAGGTTAACATTATGTAAAAATAAAATATTTGATTATTTATGCTCAATTATCAAATTATTAACCTTTTTCCTTTTCATCTTAGTAAATAAATGTTCGTAAAATACTCAATACCAGGTAAGATGGGCGCAAGTAACCACCTATGCCTTTTCAGCTTAGGATAATTACAACACTATTGTTAACTTTAGTTTAATAATAAGACGAAAGGGCAGCACGTGGTTACAATTTCTTTTCAATGTGTCGTAGCTTAAGATTTTTAAAATTTTTATTATATTAAATAAGAGGTAACATTTTCACTTTATTTTAAATTTATTTAATCATTGTGTAACTGTCATCAGGGAAATGAACCTTTTTCGGTAAATACATATATGTACTTTAACTGAAGAAGATAGAAACTTAAATGTGACTTGCGTCTTTTCATTTACTTAAATGATTGAAACGTGTAGTTGTATCTAGGCAATTACGCCTTTTTACCAATTTATTTTCTAAATGCGTCCAATTACTCCACTTAGTTTGACCATAAAAGTGTGAGTACTTACGCCCTTTTCTCTCACGGTAACTTCATACCTAATCCATCTAGGAAAAAAAAATAAAATTGTGACAGATTTGTCTTTTCTTGCTGATCATGGCAGTACATGTAACTCATTTTTTGAAAAAGTGTCAACTTACGCCGGCAGAAATACTACTATGAGTAATATTTTTGGTGCGGCAATCATTTTTGCACTCCAAAACAGCACAATAAGGTCTTTTTCTAGGATTTTAGAGAATTTGCACGAAAGAGTGACACAACCATACCATACAAAGCGAAAATGGCGGACTGAGCTCACGTAGGTCTTTCGAGACCTATAGTTGGCACGCGTCAGACGCTAACTAACCACTTCCGTATTTATTGTTCTGTGCTTGTTACTATATTCAAATGTCATGTGGCAAATGGTTCAGTTTATCATAACGATATAAATAGTAGCAATAGAACTCCCTGTGAAAGATTTCGTTTTGAAGTTGAAGTTTTGCATTACTGCGTTCTGTTTTGAAGGGTAAGGGTGCTGGTAAAATTACAGACACATGGGACTTATCAACTTATGTCTCAGGGTGACGGGCGCAGTGGCAGTGCCCGTCAGATCTTTGTGTCTTAAAGTTCTTAATGGCACTGCAACTGTTATGAACAGTCCGTTCCGTCATTTGGTATTATAAAGACTCATCCATCTCTTCGCGACTTAGACGAAATCTTTCTACGAGTACCTATCTAGCTGCAGGGCGTCACTCGTCTCTGTAACCATCACTTCATGGCCGCCATTCGGTTGTCTTTACTCCTTGCGTGGGCATCACGCTTCGTAATAAGTCCTGCCAGTCTCCATTTTAGTTCGATTGCCCTTATTAGACTTTTCTTGACAGTCGTCTGTACAAATGCACAAATTCATTGGTGGCACTAAAGCTTCTGTCTTCTTGTTGATATTCCAAATATGCCGTTTATGATACAAACCGACCTCAAAAGTTCTTGGAATTACATCTATGTACTAAGTTTTATTGAAATCGGTTACTGGAAAGTGCGCGAAACCGTATTCATCCCCTAGTTTGCCACCCTTAGTGGTGGAATATTTTCTTCAAATTTAAATGGGACCGAGGTATCATCTTAACGCATATAGTCGAACTGAGAATCTCCTCCTTTTCTGAAGTCGGTTGAAAATTTTATAGAAAAGGTTGTTCTACGGCTTCTGCATTCTTGATTAACAACAATCTATTGCTGTGATAGTTTAGGTGTTTCAGGTTGTGAATGATAAATTTGAACAAATATCTATTTACCAAGATCAACTCAGAGTTTCTTACTAATTATTTTCAGGGGATTTGTCTGATTTACGATTTCAATTCTAACTTGCTTGTCTTTGAAATAAAGACATTGCAAACTTTTGCTTCTGTATGTGTGTGGTTGTTGAGGGGTTGATCGCCTATACAGTCGATGCGAATGAAGTACCATTTTCCTTTACACATGACACACGCTCATACATAGAAACGCGGCTTGTACAAGTGTACTTGCAGCGAAGGCCGACCGCATTAAATCAATTTCACCTACATTCTACAATTATAGTGGAAATTTAATTTTTGTTTCTCTTTTTGTTTCAGGTAACATTTTGGTCTCACTGAATAGAAAACTTCCATCGTTCGTTGCTGGATTTTCCAGTACATACAACCTCTTTTGACCTTCTTTAAACAAAATGAGGGCAATAACGACCACCTAAAGGTAAGCAAGGTCTTGAATAGGCATAATTATGTAAAAGAACCGATAATAAAGGAAAGGACCCTTCGTTTCGGGAACTGAATACGTCTCTGTAGACTATATAAGCCCGTAAGTCGGCATTGTGCACATAATCGTGAAACGTCACTGACTTACAATTATATGGACGTCGGGTCTGCGCTAAAAAGTGTCCGAACTTATAGGGCGTTAAAATCGTATACAGAGCGTCATTCACGCTTTAGTCTTAGTTTGTTCGACTGACAGCGAAGCAAGCAAATTTAGATAGTACTTGTAATGTAGGTATATTATTAAATAGTTGTAAGTGGGTATTTTTTGTAAGATATTTATATTCGCCAGTCCGTTAATAAACGTTCGACTGCTAAGCTGTGTTTTTGTTCCTTGCCGTGTGCCGATATAAAACAGTGACGACGAGGCCATTTTTTTTGAAATATACCATATATATTCAAAAAGTAACCTACGTGTGTGTGTCTGTGTATCTGTGTTTTGTTATACATACAAAAAAACAATGTCGGTTGGAAAAATTTCGGAGTTCGATGTGCATAAAGACGATTGGCGGTTGTATATCGAACGTTTGGAACAATATTTCATCGTAAATAATGTGAAGAGTGAACATCAAGTGCCTACATTGATTACGGTGATGGGTGCGGAAGCCTATGAACTATTGGTTAATTTATGCACACCGGAGCGACCCAAGACAAAGACATTCCAACAAATCACCGCCATATTGGAAGGTCATTTGCAACCGAAACCTAGTGAACTAGCCGAGAGATACAAATTTAGGCACAGAACGCAAAATAGTGGCGAAACCATAGCGGAATATATTACCGTTTTAAAACGTATGTCAAAAACGTGCGAATTTGGCAACTGGCTGGAGGAAAGCCTGCGGGATCAGTTGGTATGTGGCATAATTAGTGACACTATACGGCAACGGCTGTTTGCGGAGAGTAAACTGGATTTTAAGCGGGCATACAGTTTAGCAGTGAGTATGGAGACGGCCGAGAAGGATGCGGCTATTGTGCAAGGGCACGGAAGGTCACCGGCCGAACCGATGATGACGGTGCCATGTCAAGCGATAGCGGGGGAGCGGTGGCGACGGAAGGGTGCGGCGGGCGATGCAGTGCGGGGCGGGAGCGGAGCGGCGCGGGAGGCCGGGCCGCTCGCCGCGCGGCGGGAGCGCGCGCGCACGGAGCCGGCGCCGCCGCCGCCGCAAGCGCGGACCGGGCGGTTCGAGCAGCGGCCCCGATCGTGCCGTGCATGCGGGGGCGCACATGATTCGGTGACTTGCAAGTTCATGCGATATGTGTGCCGCGTATGCAATCAAATAGGGCACCTACGTCGTATGTGTCCAAATATTACGAACTATGTCAGTACGGGAGTATCGAACATCAGTGGAGATACGGACAGCGTCGACAGTGACGAGGTAATTTTTATTGAGTGTAACCGGTTGGCAATAAGTCAGTGTAAACCGTTGCTTATGGCGTTAAATGTTCATGGTAAGGAGCTCCTTATGGAATGCGATACGGGCAGCGCCGTGTCGTGCATTAGTTACGACACTTATTTAAGACTGTTTAGTAATATAAATATTTGTGATTGTAAATTAGTTTTGCGCTACTACACAGGAGAGGTAGTGCGGCCTGTTGGAGTAATTAGGCCTAAAGTATGTTATAAAAACAAAGAAAAGACTTTAGATCTTTATGTTATTAAAAATGGTAAGACAGCATTGCTTGGGAGGCAATGGCTGGCAGAGATGAATATTAAATTACCAGTGTTACAATACAGCTCGATTAACATGTTAAAAAGTGAGATATTCGATTTGGAATCGTTCAGTTCCAGATATTGTAAAGTGTTCGCGGACGGCCTTGGGCGTTTCACGGGTGCGCCTGTGAGCATCCACGTACGCGCGGACGCTCGACCGGTGTTCCTGCGCGCGCGCCCGCTGGCGTACGCGCTGCGCGAGCCGGTGGAGCGGGCGCTGGAACAGCATGTGCGGGACGGCGTACTCACCCCGGTGCAGCGTTCGGACTGGGCCACACCCATTGTACCAGTAGTAAAAAAGGACGGTAATATTAGAATATGTGCTGATTACAAATTAACTTTAAATAGAGTGTTGGAGATTGACCGTTATCCACTACCACGAGTTGAAGATTTATTAGTTAAATTACACGGGGGACAACATTTTAGCAAAATCGATCTCTCGCAGGCGTACGCGCAATTGGTGTTAGACGATACAAAAAAATACACCGTTATTAATACCCACAAAGGGTTATTTGTATACAACCGTTTGGTATATGGCCTTTCTTCCAGTCCAGGTATATTCCAGCGACTTTTGGAGGAATTATTTGTTGATATACCGCGAGTTGGGGTGTTCTTAGATGACGTGATTATCACGGGTAGGTCTGCAGAGGAACACGTGGGGAACTTACACAAGGTATTTCAGCGATTAGAGAATTCAGGTCTGCGAGTAAAAAGAGAAAAGTGTGTATTTTTCGCTGAATCGGTTAGTTATCTGGGTCACGTAATTAGCAAAGAGGGCGTGCACACTTGTCAAGATAAAGTCAAAACGATTTTAAAGACACCGGCACCGACAACAGTTTCTGAATTACGGTCATTCATAGGTATGGTAATGTATTATTCAAAATTTGTACGTAATGTTAGTACTATATTGGCACCTCTTTACGAATTACTCAAGGTGGGTTCTAAATACGTATGGAGTTCGGAGTGTCAAAACGCTTTTGAAAAAATAAAAACAAGGCTTGCCAGTAGTGAAGTGCTCGTGCATTACTCCCCGGAGCTACCGCTCGTGCTGACCACAGACGCAAGTAGCGTGGGCGTTGGCGCGGTGCTGTCGCACGTGACGCCGGCCGGCGAGCGACCGGTCGCTTATGCATCGCGCGCGTTAACCGCGGCCGAGCGGCACTACTCTCAGATAGACCGAGAAGCCCTCGCGATAATATACGGCATACGGAAGTATCACCAGTACTTGTATGGGCGCAGATTTACACTTAAAACGGACCATAAACCTTTGACATTTATTTTCGGAAATAAAGTAGGTATTCCGGTCATGGCAGCGTCTCGTTTACAACGATGGGCCTTATTACTATCGGGTTATCAGTATAATATTGAGTATGTTTCGTCAAAGAAAAATTGTGCAGACGCTCTGTCTAGGCTCCCGGCGCTAACCGCTAGTAAACCGGAGGATGCGAAAGAGGTCACTTACACAAACTTTGTCGAAAACTTTTTACCAGTGACGAATCATGACGTTAGAGCGGCGACTGCGAAGGATTTGTTGCTTAGTAGGATTAAAGTTTATGTAGAATCGGGCTGGCCTACATCTTGCCTGGAAAACGAGCTTAAACCGTATTTTGTTAGACGTAACGAGTTATACATTGAAAACGGGTGTATTATGTGGGGATATAGAATGATTGTTCCTATATCATTGCGGCAATTAGTTTTAAGAATGCAGCGGCCGTAATTAAGGTACTCCGAGAAACATTTGCGAGGTTTGGTTTGCCATTAGAACTAGTATCGGATCAAGGCCCGCCTTATGCTAGTGCTGAATTGTCATTATTCCTTAAGAACAATGGTATCCGCCAGATTTTCGCACCCGTGTATCATCCGTCATCGAATGGGGCAGCCGAAAATGCTGTAAAGCTATGCAAAAAAGCAATAAAAAAAGCGTGGCGGGACAACGTAGACATTGACGCTGCACTTCAAAACTTCCTGCTGACGTATCGGAACACGACGCATGGCACGACCGGTGAGACGCCTGCGTTGTTGTTACAGAGACGTGCCTTACGCACACGCCTCGACTTATTACGCAACGACTATGCCATACAAGAGAGGGTGCGTGAGGCACAGCGCGCTCAAACGGAAAATGCTGGTGGTGTAGACCGCGATTTTGCGGAAAACGATACGGTTTGGGCTAGGGGTTACGGACGGCAGGAAAAATGGATTAAAGGTAAAGTTATTGACAAAGAAGGCTCTAGGCGGTATGTAGTAGATAGTGGTAACGGTCAATTCTTAACCAGGCATATTGATCAGCTAAAACGGAGATCGCGCTGGTCAGATGTTACTTGTCCTGACATCGATGTGGGTACCGATGGCGAGGTGGCACAGTCCGGGGCACCCGAAGGTGGGCTCGCGGGCTCGCCGCACGCGGTTGCGGTGGTGGATGATAATGGTAGTCGCAGCGAAATAGTAGACGAGGTACCTAAAGAACCTATAATGACAAAGAACGACAGTAATCGCGCGAGCGCATCTCATTCTCCGCCGCAGCCCGTGACCCGTTATCCCAAAAGACAACCCAAGCCAGTTGTAAGGTATGGCTTTGAAGTTGACTAGAAATAAATTTTTGAATCTGTATAATGTTAAGGCAGTCTTAAAATTAGTTTGTTAATTAGTATGGCTACCTCAGTTAAGTGTGTGTGTATTGTAATTTAAATTAGAGTCACAATAGTTTTAAGTTTCGATTCGTAAATTAAGGGTGGAGGTGTAATGTAGGTATATTATTAAATAGTTGTAAGTGGGTATTTTTTGTAAGATATTTATATTCGCCAGTCCGTTAATAAACGTTCGACTGCTAAGCTGTGTTTTTGTTCCTTGCCGTGTGCCGATATAAAACAGTACTGCGATGACATTACAATTTAAATTCAACGTTTTAGCTTTTTCATATTCCTTTACATGTCACTACGTTTAAATACGTTGACTTGGGACATTTTTTTCGTGGTTTGTGTATTAGACCCGTCGTCCATTTATTTGTAAGTCAATGTGAAACGTATAGATTTATCGTCAGATAGGAATGTACAGTTTACTCAAAAGTTTTTAAATTAGAGTTCGGTTTGCGAGAAAAAATACGTGGGTTTGGAATTGTTGTGTTTATCGTGAATGTTTATCCGAAAATTTTTCAACTTCAAGGACGTATTTTGTGTGTGGTTTAACTCGAATACGTCGAGGAGTATTTGACTTTGACGGATGGTACTTATGTTAACACGTGACCTTGAACAAGTAACTGAAATTTTTTTGGGGAATCTGTTTGCAAATACCCCGGCTCTGCGCGGGCAGAGTTACAGTTAGGGAGTTATGTGGGACTGGGCTGAACCCTGAAGGGGAGTAGCCCGACTGAACCCCCGGGGTGTTTCTCCTCTTCGTTGTACGTATACGCTATTGCTCGTCCGCGCTTCCAAAATCGGCTGGCCGCGCTCAGTGTTGCTCCTCCCCGAAAAAGGAGACACATCGGTCCCCCGATTCCAAATGTACTGCTCGCGTACTGCAGGCAACGAACTCCCCCAGAGTCCGCTACGCAGGGGCCATGGGAGCCAAGGCAGAATCCTCACAACTGTGAAGTTGTGAAGAAGTGAAGTGAATGCTCCCCCAGCCTCCGCGGGGATCTTTTGGTAGGCTCCGCATACGTGCATCCGCGTGGTCTCTCCGAGGAGAGTTATTTGGCGCGCCCATCGCAACTGCATCACCCCTTTAAGCGGTGCAGCTCCGCCAGGGTCGCGGGGGACCGACCTCACCTGCGTGCATCCGCGCGGACCCTTTCAACGCCGACCAAAACGAGCTCGCGCGGAATAAGCTACACCAAAATTAAGTCTAAGGACTAATTAGCATTATCACACGTCTCACTGTCAACCTCGTTGTCGTCGGTAGTCGGCCAATCTAGGGTGTCCTACAAATGCCTATTGGAACGAATACCAACTTGCCCAATAATCGGTATCGCAAGACAAGTTTTGAAATTTAAACATCGACCCATGCGCGCTCTTTATCTTTTTGAAAACAATGGTCGGTGTATGAATTGCCATTCATTTGTGCTGGAAATTAGTTCCCAAACAAGAAAACCAAAGCCATACTGAAGTATAACTACGTAAAGGTTGAATAGTTATGTTTGGAATTTTGCCATGTTGCGCAATTTTGAACATCTAATTTCTTCTTAACTTTTTGTTTCACGCGTATTGCGTTTGAGCCAACAACGGCAACTGAAAAATACGATTGCCTCAATATGGAGAAACAGAAGGTCAATTTGTGAAAGCGAAGAGTGATCACCCCTGTTACAAGTCCAAGAAAATATAGTTTTAATCCCCCATAAGTCCCCACTGATGAACACGGATGCAATAATGCACGTTGCATTACCCAGCTGCATGCAGTTAAGATACCATGTCACTTTCCGTACCATAAACCGTGACTTTATCGGAATACACTGCTGGAAGTGAAAGTAAAGTTTACTCGTGGATTAACAGGATCATGCCCAAGTTTCGCCTGAGGAATCTCGAAGGAATGTCTTAGACAAGATACACTGATAATAGGAAGAATTAAAATATTAGTCTCGCTAGGCAGCATATCAGCACGTTCAAAACCCGGAATGACATAAAGATATCGCATCCAGGCGAACATCGCTGAGTATAATCTTTCAGTGTAGGAGAATAGGAGACTTCTTATTTTGAACACAATGGGCCTGGGTCCCAAGTCAGTCACAAATTTTTTAAAGCATCTCAGTTGTGTGTCGACAGTGTCTATGGCAGGATTTTGTACGTTTGGTATTCTGCTAAAAGTTAAGAGTTTGTGGCTTGTCAGAGGCTAGTCATCGAGTCAGAGACTATTCAACTGCTACTGCATATTTTTTGGTGCTTAGTCTGCTCTTCAATGAAGAGTCGACGTCGATAGCATAGTCTGATAACTATCTGACATGAAAAGATACATAAATTTGAAGACCGAGTTGCTGATTAAACGAGATAAAAATGAAGATTTGCATAACAATTCCCATCATCGTCATCAGCTTACACGCATCCACTGCTGGACACAAGCCTCCCCTTGAGCACGCCAACTCTCCCGGTCTTGCGCCGCCCGTATCCAGGCCACCTTGCCCAGATCGTCCGTCCATATTGCCGCAGGGCGTCCCACAC